ACCATCAAATAAACATCATAAACATGTTTCTGTAGGACCTGTGAAAAGAAGTATACAAAGTTAAAATTAAGGAAATAGATAAAGATCAGAGTAAAGATAAGTGTAATACAAACTTTAAAAATACCAAAGATTGATGGAATAAAGAATCGGCTTCTTGAAAATATAAGCAAAACCAATAAACTTTAAACTGTACAAAAAGAAAAAACTGGAGATTAAAAATAGAGCATGTTACAATTGATGCAACAGAAGTACAAAAGATCAATGGGAAAAATCGTGGACAATATCGACAAATTGAAAAACTTAAAAGGAATGGATCAGCTACTGAATACACTATAAATTACCAAAATTGAAACCTGAATAAATTAAATACTTGAACTGAAAAGTAAGAATTAATTGAAACAGTAATAAAAAGTTTCTTGACAAAGAAAGTTCATGACCAAATGGTTCCACCACTGAATTCTATCACATTTTTTATCAACAATTAGTGGACAGAAAAAGCAGAAGGGGATGTTAGTTTCTAGCCACTAGCTTATTTCCCTAAAACTTGTAATCATTAGTGCTGGGCTAGAGTCAGATCCATGACACAAGCATGTAATTCAGGTATCCAATACGGGTGGCAGGAATCAAATTACTTGAAGCATCAATATTATCTCTGACACTCTGTGATAGCACAAATCTGGGGTAGGGATAGAACTGGAAACAAGCTTAAGTACTTTGACATGGGATAGGAGCTTGCTACGCATGTTGACCACTATGCTAAAACCTTATTCCCCATAAACCTTTAAAAAAAATCACCCACCTTTGTCTCTCAAACTATTAAAAAGAACTGAAATGAAACTCATCCAAACTCATTCTATAAGACTAGAATTACCACGAACCATTACCTTGTAGATGTTATTGCCAAAATAATTTCATAGATTGATAGATACAAGAAAATGATATAGAAAATATATGCAAAAGTTCCCTACAAAATACTAACAAATCAAATCCAGCAACATGTAAAAAAAAATTCCCCATGACCAAGCGGATTTATCCTAAGGATGTTGGATGGTTCAACATATGAAAATCAACAGACATAATATACCACATTCAAAGAATAAATGATAAACATTGTATGGCCATCTCAGAAGATACAGAAAAAATTAAATAAAATTCAATATTCATTCATGATATATATTTTTTAATTAGGGGCCAATATAGTAGCATGAGAGGCTAATCCTCAACCTGAATGCTCTGGCATCCAACATGGGCGCCAGTTTGTGTCCCACACACTCCACTTCTACCCAGCTCCTTGTTTATGGCTTGGGAAAGCAGCGGAGGATGTCTTGGGTTTTTGTAGCCCTGCATTCACATGGAAGACCTAGAAGAAGCTTCTGGCTTTAGATTCACTCATAATAGCACCACGGCCATCTGGGCAGTGAACCAGCAGATGAAAATGTGTCTCCTCTCAATTTAAAAAATGCCTTTCAAATAATATCTTTTTAAAAAAATCAGGTACAGGGCCCGGCGCGGTGGCGCAAGTGGTTAAAGTTCCTCGCCTTGCACGCCCGGGATCCCATATGGGCGCCGGTTCTAATCCCGGCAGCCCCGCTTCCCTTCCAGCTCCCTGCCTGTGGCCTGGGAAAGCAGTCGAGGGCGGCCCAAAGCTTTGGGAACCTGCACCCGTGTGGGAGACCCGGGAGAGGCTCCTGGCTTCGGATCGGCATAGTATCGGCCCATTGCGCTCACTTGGGGAGTGAATCATTGGACGGAAGATCTTCCTCTCTGTCTCTCCTCTCTGTATATCCGCCTTTCCAATGAAAAAATAATAAAAATAAATCTTTAAAAAATCAGGTACAGAATGAACATATCTCCACATCATAAATGGCTTATCTGACAAAGTCACAGTCAACAGTCTGCTGAAGGAGAAAAAAAGGTGACAGCCTTTATTTGAATATCTGGATGCAGAGAAAGAACGCTTTCTTATCAGTCTTACTCAATGTAATACTGGCTGCTTTAACCAAGTTTCATTCTTTAGGCAAGAAAAAAGTATAGACAGGTACGAAAGAAAGCCAAAGGCCAATTATCCCTGCTTGTAGATGATATGAATTTAAATGTAGATAAATACTTCAACAAGAGTCTTCTGTAACTGATAAATTCATTAAGTATCAGTATAACAAAACCAGCACAAAAGAAATCAGTAGCGCTTTTGTAATAATGATAATGAACTCACTGCAAGTGAAATTAAAAGGTCAATCCCATTCACAATAGTTACTCAAATATCTTAGAATAAATTTAATTAGAGACTTCTAAAGTAAAAATTACAAAATATTTATATAAAAAATTGTAGACATAAACCCTGGAAAGATGTGTCCAATATGTGGAACAATTGTAATATGATAGTATTCATACTATCCAAGTAATTATACAAATTAAACACAATGTCCGTGAAAATATGACATTCTTCACAGAAGTAGAAAAAAATCTTAAAATTCACACAGCAATGAAAAAGATCTTGATTAATAAAAGAAAACTCAAACAAGAAAGAACAAACCTAGAAGCATCACAATCACTGGTTTGAGAAATACTATTGAACTACTGTAAGCAAAGCAGCACGGTACTATCAGAAAAAAAAAAATCACTCATAATCAATAGAACAAGTAGATAGACCTGAAATGAATCCAAGCACGCAGAGGAGTGAACACCCAGCAGGAGGAAACCTGACTGCTCTCACTCACCCAGTACATACAAAATCAAAAATCACATCAAGGATCTAAATTTAGACCTGAAACTTTGAAACTACCTAAGAGAGCAGGAAAAACATTTTAGACTTTGGTATAGGCAACAACTTTTGAATAAGCCCTCAAAAGCACAGGAAACAGAAGCATAACTAAATGGGACTATATTATACCAAGAAACTTCAGACTAGAAAAGGACACAGTTGACAGAATAAAGGGAATTGGCAGAATGGAAAAAAATTGCAGACTATTCATCTGACAAAAGATTAATATTCAGGATACATAAGAAACTCAAAATACAAAACAAAAATAATTCAGTTGAGCAATGGATAAAAGATCTGAATAGTTCCTAAAATAAGAAATGCAGATGATCAACAAATTCATGAAAAAATGTTCAATATCACGAACCATCAGGGAAAAGTAAATCAGAATTACAATGAGTTTAGCAGCTCACTCCAGTTAGAATGGCTATTACAAAAAGTAAAGCAGAATAAATTTTGCTAGTACATGAAGAAATGTGATCTCTCCTATTATGTTAGTAGGAATGCAAATTAGTACAGCTATTAAGAAGATAAGTATGAAGTTCATAAAAAATATCTTTCATATGATTCCCCTGTTCTACTTTTTGATATATAGACAAAGGAAATGAACTCAACATATGAAAGAAATACCTGCACTAACCATGTTAATTGCAGCTCTATTTACAATAGCTAAGGTTGCGGACATCAACCCAGGTATCTATCAATGAATGGACAGATACAGAAAACACGAGGCATATGGGGAGACAGAAAGACAGACACATGATTATTGAGCCATAGAAAGTAGGAACCTCTGATATTTACAGCAAAATTGTTGAAACTGGAGAGATTTATGTTAGTAAGTCACACATGGAAGGAAAACTACCACACACTGTTTCTCATGCATAGACTTTTTTTATGTGTACCTGAACATAGAGTAGTGAATACAAGAGGCTGGGAAGGATAAGCAGAAGGGCAGTAGAGGACAGCACCAAAAGAGTCAGAAGTGGCAAGTCCAGTGTTCTGTGTCACAGTAGGGCTACTATATTTCACAATAGTATATTATATTTGGTATGGGTAACTGGAAGAGAGGAGCTGGTAGACTCCAAACTAAATGAAATGGAAGTAACATGGCTAGTTGTTGATTTGATTGGCTTATTTTATACATGTATACATATATACACATCTCACACATATGTGGTGTGGTGTATGTGTATATGTGTTAAAGTTTAGCACTGTGCCTGATAAGATTGGACAGGTACTATGTATCATTTTTTTAATTTAATAAGTTGTTTTTAAATGAATGCTTAGATAAAAAGCAGCTATCCTAAGAAAAGAGCAAGAGTGTTCCATGCTAGATTAATAAGGCGTAATGGGCAGAACATGCAAGAACTGCAAATAGGTGGAGTTCTAGCATGTAGGAGATGAAACTGGTAGAACAAGGCACATTTCCTTGAAGTGTCTGGAAACCCAAGATTTTACTCAATCCCATATTATTCTGATTGGTTTCACTTATGCAACACTGGTTCCCATGAGAATAAGAGGATAAGAAGTTGAGCAAGCACTGAGGAGCGAGAGAGGTTCCAGAAATGGGAAGAAGTATTATCTGGAAAGTGGTGGTTACAACATTTGAGACTGAGATCTGAGTGTCACCTTTTCTCCTTAGACTTTTAAGTTTCTCATTGTATTTGGTACACATTACTCTCAAATTACCAAATCACCGCAGGTATCCTAATTGGTTCTGTAATCTGAAAAACATCTAATCTCTAAGGACATAAATTTATTTTCTGTAAAAGACAAAATTGAACAAGATAATCACTTTCTAGTTCTAACAGTTCTCTGTTACATTTGTACCTATTTTAATTCTATCTTAACTTCCTCTGCTGGAAAATCTATATTACTGACATGTTTTGCAAGGGTATAACTGCCAACAAAATTTAATCATATTCTCATCACCATAAAGCACAAATCAGTTCTTTTAAAAACAGCCTATTTGGGCAATTAGAAAATTATCATGTAACATTCATTTTTAATTAAATAAAAACTTCCTTTAAAGTGGTTAGTTCAAAAGTTAAATTTATTTACATGGTATTTTTCTATTGGATTAACCTATTACCTAAAGAATAAATTTAGACATTTATTTCCATAAAGATAAGTTCTTTAAGAATTGAATTTTATAGGATGATCTCATAAAGCAAAGCATGACATTTTCTACAGCATTATTGATATTTAAAAATTTTAAAGCATCACTGTTGATTATACTTACAGATCCCTTTGGGCCAGGCGATCCTATGTCTCCCTAAATCAATAAAACAAAATTATGTTAGAACAATATATTCATATTTGATAGTTTTAAAAAAACATTCAGAAGGCTGTTGTACTACTGAAATATAGAAAACTGTGAATATATTAACCCTGGCATTGCAAACAAATAGTCAACTCAAAATTTGGACTCTCAATTCTATTCCTTTCTTTTATGACCCTGAATAAGTCCCCTCCCAGATTGTAACTAACTTCTCTGCTAAGCAACATGATTGAATCAGACTTCACCAAGGTTCTCTTGAGGTCTCAAGTATTACTATTTAGAATCATAACCAAAAAAAGACTTCAAAAGTGTTTTATAAAGCATGAAAGACTATTTTAACCTATCCCTTAAAATTTCATGTTTACAACTGCAAGAATATTTTAATATTTAATTCAAAAGGTCCACCAAACCAAATATAAATGCATTTAGGTTTTTATGTTTGAAAATCTCCTGCTACTAATTTTATACACAAATTCTACTCAAGTGTTAACATTCCAGTTAATCTCCACTGAAAAACAGAATGATGTAGACTATTCTCTTAGCCCAGGAAATGTATAGCTTTAACAGAAAAAAGCAAAGATGGAATGATGATGTTCTGAATTAATTATGAAGAAACCTTGATAAATTTAGCTGTTATACATCTTAGTTCTGAATTTTGAAGATATGTATTAAAAAAAAAAAACACCAGAATATTTCCTGCACTAAGAACTCCCTAGGACTATTGGACAATCAGTTTATTGCCCCAAACTCAAAGGACCAAAACCTAAGTTTCTGGCTTGTCATTATGGTCCCACACAGACAAATAACACTCGCAGCGCTCATAGTGAAAAGGACTTTGTGTTGCTCTTCTTGCCCTTCTGGAGACTTGGCAATGGCATCCTCTGAAAAAAAAGAGGTCATTTCTTGGAGGAGCTTTAGCCTCGAGGAGATGTCTTCAAACAGATTTGTGAGCCACTGATAGCTCTAATAAAATTGAGACTTTCTTTCCACGATAGGCACTATTCATAGACATTCTATGTCACTGAAGCTTGCCTTGAATGTCTAGGTGTAAACTCTGATGAGAATTCCTAATCCATAAAGAATACCTCAGTTTCACAAAATTTAAAGCCCATTTCTGGGGTGTTTCCTCTCTGCTTAACCTTGGCCACAATCTTTGGAATCTTTTGTTAGCTTAAAGAAGAAACATCTTAGCCTTCAAGATAGTAGTGAGGACAATAGTTTCAGGACAAATTTCAGCATTTCAGAGTTAATAGCAAAAGGAAAGAAATCTTACCAATTCACCCCTCTCTCCTGCTTCACCTTCTTCACCAGAGGCCCCCTAAAAAACAAATTATATTTTAAGCTACTACTCATGGTTCCATTTAAAATACAGAATATTAACAAATTCTCAGAGTCAGGCAGAAAAATGTTTCCATAGCTTCCAATTTATCAGTCAACAGTTCATACAAATCAGAAAAGAGCCTACAGAAAAACCAGAAGGTATGGCTGTTGCAGTTAACAGTAAGGATTCCCCACCATATGCAGTAATTTTATAATTAGATAATCCTTGAAAGAAATCAAAGAAACTGCAGGAAAGGACTGCATCTAATAAGTACAGGTTAGCTGCTAAGATTTTGTGCAAGAGAAACTTAAAATATCATGATGTGACTATGCAAGGCTCTGTCAAAGACTAGTAAACCAATTTGGTGAACCAGTGTCAGGGCCATCCTTTTAGAGGGAAGGACAGTGTGTAATCCTGGTAGGATTGTAACTCCTGCTTAGTAAAATAGCTAAGGCCACAACATAAACTTTGCAGTGGGCTTTACTCATGATTAAACACACTGAGAAAAACTGCTGATCAACATCTTCATCACAACCTTTAACCTGTCAGCATCCTGAAGTTGTGTATATCAAATGCTTTATTTCAGACTAATCAAATAATAGGACCCACCTGTTCACCCTTTGGGCCAGTTTCTCCAACTACACCCTGTAATGAACAAAAAGCATTTTTCAGTATTTTGAGGTGTTTATATAATTTCAAAGAAATCAAATTCCCTTATCAATAAGGTGGATGGCTTAAGCATGGATAACGTGAGACAGCACTTCCCCACTCCTCACCACCTAACTAAAAGCAGGAAAAACCTGGAGAAATTGACAATAGACCTAGAATCTCTGGTAATTTGGGGCATCTTCTGATCACAAACATTGAAGACTTGGAACATGGAAATATAAATTTAAAATGAAACAGGATACATGATTAAAACTGAAATGTTTACTTTTTTCTTCCTGATGAATTATTCAATAATAGATTTTTTGCTTCTGGATCTCAACCCTCAGTGCTTTAAAATACCTCTCTTCATAAATCTCAATGAAGCAATTTAGAAAAAAATTCTCCGTTGCCTCAAAATGAAGTTTGGCTTCTCAACGTAATAGAAAGCACCCTTCTAAATAAGGTACTGTCTGGATTGCTGGAAACCTTACCCTGTCACCTTTCATGCCAGGAAGTCCAGGAGGTCCAGGCAGGCCAGGGAGGCCAGGGCTCCCAACAGAACCCTGGAAAACAAACAAAGTCCCCAGAATCACCGTCTGCATGACTGGAGACACACAAGCCTTAGGTGTTCTGACAAGCATGCTGTGGTTGGGTTAGCTCTGTTCCTGAAGATTGCCTTTCTCCCGCATGATCAGAAGAAGGGCCTGTGCCCTTGGGCTCTCCATCCCACCCAATGGCCCTACATTCCTGCACAACAATGGGCTCTTTCAGTCAAGCTCCTGCAACAGCATGATGCTGCTCTACTGTGTAAATAAGACTGTACAAGAAGTTAGAGGCAGCATTCACTTACAGACTCCCTCTATACCTAGAACCACCAGAGGCTAAAACAAGGCACTGCATGCCTCTCTTGAACTTTGCATGCACTGTACAAACCACACGATTAAGTTTTATCCAGAGTATCCTAGATAGATTTTGAAAATTGCACATCTACCTTTTCACAGTCACACAATAGAGTAAATGACTAGATGACCTCTTGCAGTTGGCTTTTCTTTTCTTGCTTATTTGGAAAAATGTGCTTCCTAAAGAGCAAGCACAGATCTGAGGAAGGGGAACATCACTTACCAATTTACCTGGTAGACCTGGGGCTCCAGCTGGTCCTACTTCTCCTCTACTGCCCTGTAAAAACCCAACCATCATTGTCCACCAGATATCCTGCCAAAAGTACTTTGTGTATACTTGGATTTCTATTTAAACATAAAAATCAGAGTATTCACCCTTTATAAAAGGCACTTACAACATCTCTGTTGACCCTTCATTGAATATTCTGAGATTATGTAGGCTTACAGAAATATCTGATACACATGTATGAAATAAAAATTAGAAACTTTCACCCTTTAAATCATATTCTAATTGATAATGCAGTTATTTGTGTAAATATCTTATTCTCTTGGGTTATGAGACTTCTACATAGTGCCCAGAAAAGAGTACTAAAGTAACAGGCAAATTATCTGTGACCTCGAGAGTGAAAGAAAAAGCATCAGATGGTTATCTGCCCTTAAATCATGACTGCAACCCCAAAAAGATAGACATGAGACATTTATAAAGTAATTGACACAAAAATATTTCTCCTACTCACTCTTGCTCTAAATGTATTCAAAGATTAAATAGACTAAAAAGTCAAACCACAAAGAAAGTACCCTGAAAGCAACACCAGATTTATTTTGTGAACCAATTTCAGTGTTAGCTGAAACTAAGTAGTCAATTTTTATCCAAAATCTTAAGCTTTCTGAAACGTTTCAGAAAATGAGATATATGAATTCTTCAGCATCTGTATCCAAGAACTTCATATAATCTCATGCATTCTGCTAAATTTTTTTAAGATTTTATTATTGGAAAGGCAGATATACAGAGAAAAGGAGAGACAGAGAACATCTGTCTGCTGGTTCTCTCCCCAAGTGGCCACAATCACCAGAGCTGAACCAAACTGAAGCCAGGAGCCAGGATCCTCTTCCTGGTCTCCCACGTGGGTGCAGGGACCCAAGGCCTTGGACTTTCCCAGAACACAGCAGGGTGCTGGATTGGAAGTAGAATAACCACCAAATGAATCGGCACCCTTGTGGGATCCAGGTAGATGCAAGGCAAAGATTTAGCCACTGGCTATCATGCCAGCCCAGAAAGCTTATTTCTAACAAATGCTCAACTAAGCTCAGCGCAAGCCATTTGATAAAGAACTGCTTCCTGGAATGAGTATATAAAAATAAAAGCAGTCCTTAGAGCTAATTTTTAACCTTAAAATGGCATACCATTGTACTAATGCTAATATTTACGAATTTATAAATGCTTCTAATAAGTTTAAATGTTCTGGGTCATAGGTGATTCATACAAGTTGAAGAAGGTGTCAGGATCCATAAACTTCCTGCATTTTCAATTCCCCTAAAGGATTCAGAAATGTTTACCAAACATTTGTAATTATACCTCTAGCTATAAGCAATAAGCAATAATTTCATTATAATGAATTCATATGACTTACAATTTCAACTGAATGCTCTTACTTTAAAAATTTTTGTATTAACAATTTACATGAGTTTGGAATGTTAGTCCTGACCCTTAGGAATGGAAACCAGAGTCAGTATCCTGGGAGCATCAATGCTATAAAGATATAAGTCTAAAAAAATCATACATGATGATATTTATGAGTCCACAAATGATAAAATTGGATTCTATTCCATTAATTTAGCCTACAACTTCAAGGTTCAAGACTGGTTTCCATCAATTTATTTGCTGTTGGCATTTTCTCAATATTTTCTCTTAGCATCATAATTGAGATCAAAAGCCATTGGTTTAATGTGAGACTTTGACTCACTAGCTATTTGGTGGAAAAACAAATTAGTAATATCCAAAGGAAAAAGCTCACTTCTTCACACAACTCTACTTATTCACTCCTGAATAAATTAATCATGCTATCTTTCCCAAACTAAAGATGATTAATGTACTTTCTTTCTTTGGAATGATTAATTCTCTCCTCACAGATAAAAATTTTCTCTGCTAGAGTCTTTTTAATATTAGTGTATTTTTACTAGAAAGTCTGGTTTACAAAGAAAAGGAGAGACAGAAAGATCCTTTATCCACTGGCTCATTTCCCAAGTGGTCGCAACAATAGAGCTGAGCCAATCCAAAGCCGGGACCCAGGAAGACTCTTCCTGGTCTCCCACACAGGTTCAGGGTCCCAAGACTTTGGGCTGTCTTAAGTGCTTTTGAAGTCAAAATGCTTGACATAAGTGGAGCCACAGAGGACACAAACCGGCACCCATACAGGATCCTAGTGCATGCAAGGCGAGAACTTTAGCCATTAGGCTACCATGCCAGGTCCTCTGCTAGAATCTTATCTTTGTCTTTCACCAGTTCTTACGATTTAGTTCGTATTATTTAGTTCCCACCACTGACATGTGTCCTTGATAGTACATACACTGATCTGCTAAATTTTTGAAGTCCAGCACACGTCAGATCAGGAAAACTGTCAATGAAATTGTGGGCATTTACTCCATCATTGCTGCACTAACAGAATGGGGTTCCTCTCTTACTTCACTTTTCTCCTATAAATCTTCACCGATTTAATATGTGTAAACTTCTAGGGAGATTATCTCACATTGAAGACTGGTACTGTTTATTTTTATAACAAAAATCAGATATTATAACAAGAGTTCTGATAGGCATTCTTGGGATTTGTGTTCTAAAAAGAATTTCTAAGAAATTCTGGAATTTCACATGAGTAATCAGGCATCTGTAGAAATGTAGATTAAAATACAGTCTAAAGAGTGTTAATTAGCTATGGCCTTGGCACCAGAAGTGTGCTCAATAAATGACAAATATCTTACTCTTCAGCTATAGTGACGAATCATATCCTAGGATGTGGGACAGGGAGACCAGCAGGGAAACTGCTTTTCTTCCCGGGGGAAAGAATATTTGTAAACTGTGTGACAACAAGATTCTTGATTTTCATAAAATGACCAGAAGAACTCAGAAATATGAGGCCAAAGTGGTCATGAATGTCCGAATGGCTAGGACTCTGCTCTCTGCATCAGGGCACCTAGTGCAACAGCTACCTGCAACTCCTGACTCCTAGTGCCAACACCAGAAGGCAACAGCAGATATGGCTCAAGCAGTTGGATCCTGGCCACTCATGTGGAAAATCTAGGTTGAATAATTGGCTACTAATTTCAGCCTGGCCCAGTCTGGCTATTGTAATTATCTGGGCAGTGCACCAGTCAGCAGAACTCTCTCTAATCCATAAACAATTCTTTTTTATAAAGCACTTCCTGGAGAGAGAAATAATTTTTGAAATCTCAACCCATTATAAATGGATCTTTGCTCTTCTTGCAAGTACTACTCTGCCACATACATCTTCATCAGTCAACTCATCATACGTGGCAAGCCAACAAAAGTGTTTAAAAAAAGGATGCAGACTTTTGTCAGAGACTGCCAACTCTGACCAGGTCCCAGAATCCCCTGAGTTCTTTAGAAACATGGGTATAGGGCCCGGCGCGGTGGCGCAGTGGTTAAGGTCCTCGCCTTGCACGCCTGGGATCCCATATGGGCGCCGGTTCTATCCCGGCAGCCCTGCTTCCCTTCCAGCTCCCTGCCTGTGGCCTGAGAAAGCAGTCCAGGACGGCCCAAAGCTTTGGGACCCTGCACCGGTGTGGAAGACCCAGAAGAGGCTCCTGGCTTCGGATCTGCAAAGTATCGGCCCGTTGCGCTCACTTGGGGAGTGAATCATCGGACGGAAGACCTTCCTCTCTTCTCTCCTCTCTGTATATCCGCCTTACCAATAAAAAAAAATAATAAAAATAAATCTTTAAAAAAAAAAGAAACATGGGTATACTCCATGTGTGTCTTCTACCTCCTCATCTCCCCATTCCCTACTTTTATTCAACCCATCCCTTCCCGTTGGAGTAAGACCCAGTAGTCTGAGCTTCTGTTGAATTTGTTTGTATCAGTCTTATACATCCATTAAATGCTTACCATGAAAGTTTCACAAACACTACACTGAAAATTTCCTAAATAGCTTTGACTGGAAAGTCTCCTGCAGCTGCTGCAGCATGACATAGATGCTGAAACCCAACTGTTAGGGATGCCTGTACCATCAGATAATTTAAAACAAAAATCTTAATCTGTATCAAAACATCTTTATTGGTAAAACAGGGTTTAAAACAGGACCAACTTCATGGGCTTTCTGTCAAAATGAAGTACTTGCCTCATACCAAGCACAATATAGGTGTTAGTTGATTTTATCTGATGATTGCCAAACACATCAGTCAAAATTATTTGCTTCAACTAAATGTTTGCCTTTCAAATCTTTCAGCTCTGTTTAAAAGCACAAGCTGTCCCCAGGCCTCTGCCAAAACCACTGATCATCAAGCAGGAATCTTCTTGACAAACAAGTACTGGCTACTGCTCTGTCAAAATCAGTGCCATCAAGACATCCAATGTCTCTTATAGAATGAAGCTAATTGATGTACAAATGATCACAGAATGTGTGATCATTTATACACACACACACACGTTTAAGTGGAAAAAACTTACAAAATGCATTTTATTCCACTGTATCCCTGCTTGTAAGAGAGGTTTTATCTGTCCAGTTACCCAAAATACTAACTATAAAATAAATCCTATCTTTACACCTTTTTTATTTTAAAAGTGGAAAGTAGCTATACCCAGTGTGCACAATGTACTAAGTGCCTCTGTCTGGCAAAAAGCATTCAAAAAGGAGATCAGTGATAGCTTCCCTAGATTGTAACTTTGATAAACCCAGTTTCACACTAGCCTTGGACAAGTCTATTAGTCATTCTATAAAGGCAATTTTCAGATTTCCCACAAATAATTTTTAAAATCCATTCATTTTATAATATTGCATAATTTATGTTTCTTTCCTGTGTAGTTTTAAATATTTCTTCACATAGAGGCAGAAAAGGAATGCATCAATGGACCATAATTGTGGGGCATCATATTAAGCTGTTGCCTGCAATGCGATATAGAAGTGCCAGTGTGTGTCCTGGCTGTTCTACTTTCAGTACAGCTTCCTACTAACATGCCTGGAATGTAGTGGAAGATGGCTTAAGTATTTGGACCCCAACATGAGATCTCTAGATGGAGTAACAGGCTCCTGGCTTCAGCCTTGCTGTTGTGGTCATTTGAAAATTGAACCATAAGATGGAAGATCTCTCTGTCCTTTACCTTGTCACCCTGCCTTACAAACACAATTTTGATTTGAAAGAAAAAGAAACATCTAAACCATAACTGTTACACACAGCACCTTTATGAATTGTCAACAGAGGTAATCCATCAGGGCCTCGGTAGGATGGAGTGGGGTAGAGTAGCCAACATGTTCAACCACACACTACGTGGGCAACTCCCACGTTGAGGTTGTTGGTGTTGGGATGGGGTAAAAAATTATGAGAAAAAAGTACAGGCTTCTGTTCTTCTGGAGCATAATCATCTTGAAAACTCATGAGATACAACAGCCTGGCACTCACTCAAGTCTGACTCAAGAGGCAGAAAAAAAAACCACTCACTGAGCAAATGTCCTGTCAAGTTCTGAGCAGGCTGGGACAGCAATGGGGCAGGAGCCACTGTGTGGTAGGACAAAATCAAGGGCCAGGCTACCTGTTCTCTGAACCAGGAGCCACCAAGACCAAGTACAAAGCAAGAAGAACGGGCTAGAGGAAGTGAGAGGCTTGTACGAAATTGTTGGCATTACAAAAAAAGATTTAATATTTTTTCAGTGATTCTCACAGATGTTAATGGAAATAGCACTTTATTTCAAAGGCATGCTCTTAGAACATTAGAATTATGCTCTCATTCCTTCTACTCACAGCTTGACTTGAGATTTGCAGGAAAGCTGATCAAAATTGTGAGGCACAGTTGAAAATGTGTGAACTTATCTATAAGCCTCAACTTAATGATGTAAATTCAAAGCGCAAATGTATCTTTAAGCAAGTAGATTTGGTGTTAAAACTCCACAAGAGAACTATAATAACTTATCATAACAATTTTTTCTGAAAAAAAATTTATAGCAGGTAAGAAAGCAATTATTTCCCCCACCAAAAAAAGCAACATAGCAGGATTTATTATGCCCCCAAGTCATTTCATTTCAAGCAATAGTTTTTTGAGCAGTACCTTCTGGCACACTCTGGGTAAAAAAAAGGTAGGGGACACAGAGTTGAACCAGACATGTTCCTGCCATCGCTACAGGACAGGGAACATAGAAGTCAAGGGTTACACCATTCAGAATAAGGAGAGATCACTTCTAAATGGGAGTAGATGTTCATAGAACTAGCATTACCATGATATTTAGGTGGATATATGGAATGTTAGATAGATGGAAGGGAGCCATCTAAGTGCAGGGTCTAACATACAGGAAAACAAGCAGGCTGGGAACGCAGATTATTCGAGAATAAGCATGAAGCTCAGTCTGACTTGACTACAGGGTCTAAGCAAGGTAGAAATGAGAAGTAAAACCAGGATTTCTACTCTCTGTAGCAATTCATTTACAATCTGTAAAAAGGAAAGAGAAGTGATGACAGAAGCTATGCTTTGGAAACACCAGAATAAGGATGTATACCAGTTACAGATGCTGCAACTAGTCCCCCAAGGCTTTTGAAATTGTGTTTGGTATTTTTAGTTTGTGCCAAAGACTATGAAAACACCTGCCATGTTATAGTGTGGGAAGTCACACATTAAAGATATGCTACAGCTGCAAAAGTCCTAGAGAACAAAGGGGCCCATCCAAAATAACAGCGGTCTCCTGTTGGGAGATGCTGAAGGAAGGAAAGATCTGAACTGAGAATGAGAGTGTACAGTAAAACCAGGAGATAAGAGGCAGTAATGGGCTGAGTCAGGGTAGTAGAAATTAGAGTGGAAAATAGCTAAAAATAAGAAATTTTGAAAAGACAGAATCCGCAAGCCCTACTGGAGATAGGAAATGAGTAGGGTAGGAATGCCAAGGCTTTGAATTTTAGTGACAGGAACCATGTGAAGAATTTGTCACTTTTCTCACTTTTTTGGTTCAGAGCGTGATCCTGGCATATGGTAGGTGCTCAGTCAACATTCCCACATCATAACATAATTTTCTACTGAGTAAAATGAGTGGGAAACATAATGGAAACACTCTGACAATATCCTACACTGCTAACTCTTTCTGGACCAGATAACACAGTCACTATCTCAGAAATGGGATCTGGCTAGACCCTAAGTGCTTTGGAGTATGGAAAGTATTTTAATTAGTAAATCACAGATTTCACTAAACTACATAGTAGAGGTCAGCCACCAACCATCTGTAAAAAGGGGAAAAACTCTACTCTTTGTTCCCCAAGGCACTGGGTATACCTCACTTCTTCTCAAGCATAAAAATCACCAACATGCTCAAGAAATGTTTCCAAAGAAATATAACACTATTTGCAAAGGTTCCTATGCTCTCATGTAAGAGTTGTTTTTAATGGCCAAGCAGTACTCTAACATTTGCAGCAAATTCTACCATTTGTAACAAAATGGTCTCAACTAGAGACCATTATGCTCAGTGAAATAAGCCAATCCCAAAAGGACACGTATCATATGTGCTCTCTGATGTAAGGAAATGTTCATGCAAAATAGAAGCTCAATCAATGTACACACAGTTATGTAGAGGAACTGTATAATGGACACAAGGATGCCACACATTGCAGGATGCATCTCTACTTCTGAGTAAAAGATGGACTCTGAATGAAACTGTCAAACTTATCTTGACAATAGGATGCTGGGCTTACTATCATTGTCTACACCTACAAATATCATGATACACTTAAATAGAAGAATGATGGATGTGTGAGTGTTGTTGAAGGACTATACTACTGGTATAATATAGGGGGAAACAGTGGCGTTGGTGGGGGGAGGTGTGAAGCCTGAATAACACTATCACAAAAAAATTTTTAAGTTATTTTTATTATCCATCAGACTTTGGAAACAAAAATTGGAACTGAAGGCCAGGGGAGAAAATTTAAGTCAAATCTAGATGTATGATATTTAACTTATTGCTTTCTCTCCTAAGGCTTTACAGTACATTGTGAGAATATATGCTGCCATATCTGCTTTAAAGTAGATTCACATCAAAAGAAATCCAGTAATTTCCCCAAAAGTTAAATGGATTTATTATATGACCCAGAGTTTCACCTGTAGCTATACACCTAAGACAAATTAAAACATGTACACACAAAACTTGTATACGAATGTTCATAGCAGCCTTATTCGTAATGGTCAGATAAGAGGAAAACCTGAAAATGTCTATCACCAGATGAACTGATTAAATGTAATATATCCACACTATTCAGCAAAAAGAAATGAAGTACCAAAATACACTACAGCACAGATTAACTTAGTGAGAAAAGACAATTATTTTAAACAGTCACCTATGTATGGTTCTCCTTTTGGAAAATATCCAGCCTCAGCAAGTCTATGCAGACAAAAAGTACATTAACAGTTGCCTACAGCTGAAGGGTAGGGAAGAAAGACTAAATAATCATAAACGAACCCATGCTTTCTTTGAGTAACGGACATTTTCTAGAATTGTCTGCCATCACAGTCACACAAATCTGTGACTACACTAAAACTTATACGCAATCACTGGATGAAATGCATGCATGTGGATTACATTTAAGTAAAAAAGCTTCTTTAAGCCTTACTAAAAATATTCCCTTCCAAGTGACATGAAAACAGGAAGGGTCACCAGCCTTTCCTTAAGCACTTCCTTTTTGTTTCTATTTTCAGAAAAAGCACACTGTCTATGTACACTGTGTCTTCCCCATCTTGTTATTTATCTGTACTTGCACATACTCAAACATAAGAGGGCATCCATGGATGGGTGAATCATTTAATGAATGAATGCAGGGATGCCCATCAAAATCCCAAGAAGGCAGTTTGGAAAGGCACTGCTGAAAAGGAGTACTCACAGGAAGGCCCCTGGGTCCTCGCGGTCCCACCTCTCCTGGGGGTCCTTGTGGGCCCTATTTTGAGGAAGGCAAATGGAGCAGAGTTAACAACCACTGATACTTTGCTTCATGATCACAACAACTTGTAACTTACAGGAAAGATAAATGGCATCTTACTGGTTTTCCCGAGTTTCCCAGTTGGCCAGGCTTTCCTGGTGCACCTGTGTTACCCTAGAGGTAAAACATTCAAAGTTAACTCAGATTGTATATAAGCATGCATATCAAGCTAATTCAAACTGGATTTTCTTACACTTAAGTAGCATTTTCTTATGCATACTGAGATGCTCTGAACACATAGAATCTAACTATGAGTATGTGAAGATTCTTTAGATTCAAATTATTTTAGTACCAGAAGTTTATTATATCATATCATCTCATTATTACAAATATCAAAATCGATATAGCCTTCATTTAAGTGTAGCCTTCATTTAAAGTGATTTCCAGGGTGAATACTTGGTGTGTCATTTAACATGCTACTTGAGATACCTGCACTCAAAATCTGAGTGCCTGAGTCCACATCCTTGCTCAACTCCTAACCCAGCTTCCTGCTAGTGCACAGCCTAGGAGGCAGCAGGTGAACACTGAAGGAGTGGAGTCCATACTACCCACACAGGAGATCATCACTGAATTCCCGGATTGTAGCTCTGACCTGGCCCACCCCCAAGCGTTGTAAACATTTGGAGAGTTAGAGTATAAAGAAAACCACTCTCTCCCTTTGAAATGATTTAAAAACCTTAATTAGTAAGTCTTTTAAAAAATAAAAGATCTCCTTCCATCAGATATTTCTTTATTCACAAATTATATACACCTGTACCATTCTCCCCTACAATACACTTCTTCAAGCCCCCTTGACTCACTCTGACACTAGCAGATGTATAAAGAATTGAATCAGTACAAGGAAATGGGTGGGTGTGCTGTAGAGAAAACCCCACCTGCCAGCAAGTTCCAGGGAAAGCACAGGTATGGTGACACTATCTCCACACCAGTGTCTGGCCACCTGCTTGCTAGGGACCATTTCAATACAAGACACTGCAGATGAGCAACGGGAGGGAGTAGTCACACAACCAACTTCTACATTATCCATACTTGATCAGTTTTATTAGAAAGTAATTTGTTTCACCTACTGTTTTTAACTGCTTGTGTTACAAGCATTGATACCAGCATTGTGACATAGTGGGTAAAGCCACTGTCTTCAATGCCAGCACCTAGAAGGACACCAGTTAAATTCCAAAATACATCTTTTTAAAAAATGAATATAAGCATTGTTATATCAGTGTGCAAAAATACTACAATAAAAAGATATTGAGCATTTTATCTTAATCTTAACTGACACAAGTTCAATGGATTAATATCTTCCTTATTTTAACTGAGAAGAAACAATAGAAGTTTGTTTTGTACTGACAAAGCTTGACATTTACACAAAGGAACTCTAAGCAACAACCATTCATCAAAGTCCTTTTTCCACAGATAGTAAAAGGTTAGCATTTGAAGCTAAAGCTTTTACTTTAAATTTCTGCATAAGGTTAATAAAAATAAAAGGTTGGAAATATCAAAACACAAAGAAAACATGTTCATACAAAACAAAGAAATAGACAAATGTTATTCCTCTAATCCTTTACCTTTTCTCCAGCAACACCCTTTGCCCCAGGAAGTCCAGGTACACCCTGAAAGCAGATACACAGAAACTGGGTTAAATCCCTTGATCTGGACAATCCCTAGAATTCCAGGCCCAGCACACACTGCTGAAAGGCAAGGAGAAACACAGCAGCCTTGAAGCCCAGAGTGAGATGCTGAGAACCCAAACTCTGCCAGTCAGTTACACAACTACCCACAGTTAGACGGCATCACACCACTGTATGTGCTGAACACCCTTAAGGCAAATTCTACGTCAACTAAATTTTTTTTTCCAAAGATGGATTTTCAAATTAGCATTCAGAATCTTTTGCATGTCAAAAGGAGTTGGACAAAAGCTATAAAGATGACATGACTTCATGTACAAAATAAAAAAAAAAAAAAGAAATGCCATCAGGGACTCTGGGTAGAGTAAGAATTTAGCCTAATGGTGAAGACCCCAATTAAGAAGCCTGCACCTTTAAATGAAAAGCACAACAAGGTTTTACCTCATCCAAAAATCAAAAAAAACAATGCATTCTGGTGAGGATGTGGAAGACAAGGTATAGTAATACACTGTTGGTGGGAATCTCAACTACTACAATCATTATAGAAGACAGTATCAGACTCCTTAGAAATCTGAAAATAGATCTACCCAGCCATCCACTCTGGAAATCTACCCACAGGAAAAGAAATTAGCATGTATTGTGGAGAATTATCTGTACTCTCACATCTATAACAGTATAATTTGAAGAATGAAATACTTACTGGTAGCCCCTGCAGACCAGCATCACCAGGAGGTCCAGGTTTCCCTGGTTCACCCTGAGAAAAAAAGACAGTTTTGAGCACTTCATTAAATTCGGATGAACTGTTGTACCACTATTTGTTTTAAAAGTATAAGAAGCACAGATATAAGTAAAAGAATTATTCTAATATCTGTCTTTATAAGTACTTTTATAATGTGATTTAGTGAAGGGCAGGGAGTGGTGTAGGACACGATACATAAATTCAAGCAAAAATACAATTTTATTCAGCCTATTTTCATGGATGTGGCTATTTTACTAACTTCCTACAAACAAGCAAATAAAGATGCTATTCTACTAAGCTCCAGGTTTTAAAATTAAGACACAAGCCAAAATTGGCTGAACAAATTCCTGGTGATGAAGTAATGGAAATTATGGTGCCAGCTGGCCAAGGCCAAGGCTGTTTCATTCTCTCTCGATGTAAATCACACAGCTACCTTTGTTCCAGGCATTCCAGGTATTCCATCACGGCCATCCATGCCTGGCAAGCCCTGAAGACACACAAAGAAAGACAATCTCTTAAAAACAGTCACTGTTTTTTTCATTATTTTTCTAAAGTTTTATTTCAAGTTGAAAATTACTTTTAAAAATATGCTTCATGACTATAGCTCAAAAACACACACCGTGTCTCCTTTGGGTCCAGGGGGACCAGGAATTCCTCTAGAACCTTGAGGTCCCTGTAAGACACAAGAGAAAGAATAAGGAAATGCTCAGTTATCACCCTCCTGAGAACAGGCCAAACAGATCAACATAACCAGCAGAAGGCAACAGAAAGCAAGTTGCTTGTATTGGTTGCCATTCATTTGAACTCACTTTGTCTCCCTTGGGACCTGCTTCTCCAGGAGGCCCTCGCTGTCCTTGGTCACCCTGCATGGAAATAAAATTCTGTTAAGGCAAAGTTACTCATTGATAGACTTCTTAAAAATTAGAAATCATCATCCATGTTATTTAACAATTGTACCTGCACCCCAAGTGTTGATACCTACCTCATTGATTTTTATAAAACTTATTTTGTCTAAAATATAGAGGTTGCCATTGATAAGATTGATATTTGTAGGTTAGGCTTTTGTTTTAAATATATAATATCCCCATGCTCTGTGTGTGTGTGTGTGTGTGTGTGTGTGTGTGTGTGTGTGTGTGTATAAACATCGAGTTCTATACTGCAAGCAATGACATCAAGAACTACTACCTCTAAACATCAGCTAAACTTATTAACTATTAGGATTGGTGGAGATTTAGGTGAATTGCAAATCTTTTCTCTACCATTTCATTCTTCAGGCAATAGAAATATTCCTGCCAAAATTTTCCAGCTAATATTGATCGGTTTTTAGGTGGTCATGGATGAGAGAATCTCTCTTCAGAAAACAGAGCTTCTGTTGAATTGTTTACTTTAGAAGCTGAAGTAGCTTCCTACCCCCAGTGGATCTGTTCTAATCACTCATAATGGCATTCAAAGTTCCCCAAATTGTGGATCTTGGCTTTTATCCTCATATTTTCAGCAAAAATGCCGTGATAGCCTCTATGAGCGCAAGTAGAACCCTGTTAACCAACAGTGTCCCCGTTATACCAAACCCAGGATGGCTTTCCAGATCAACCTCCCTGTAAGGTCCTCCTGCAGGGGTTGCCTCAAGCACCTCCTTGATCTTGTAGTTCATTACTGAGTTAGTTTCCCGCCCCCCATAAATCATAGGAACTTGACTGGTAAACACTATTTTACTGATCATTTCCTTTTTGTGTGTGGTACAGATAATTGCTACTAGATGCCTTCTTTGCCTATTTACCTTCCAAACAAGGCTTAAGGTGATCTGTAATAATGACACATGTAACTGATAATAAAAATATGGAATAATGTAGTCATAAACCATAGGGAAAAAACATGGTAGGATTACCCAAGGACTATTAATAGAGACCACTGCTGTGACGCTAAGCATCCTGACGACCAAAGCAAAAAGCAACATAAATACTCAGATTTGACCTATTCTCTAAAAAAACATCAGCTCAGAGGAACACTTCTCTGTCCCCATAAAAGAAATGCTTGTCTCAACCTACAAGTTTTAAAATACATATATTTACAGGGAAAAAATCATTACTAAAAGTGTCCGAGTTTTGTGGGGGGAAGATCACTTACAGGTGCACCAGGAAGACCCCGAGGCCCAGGTTCTCCATCCAAGCCACGAGCACCCTGCAAGAAACAAGGCAGACGTGGACGTCAGTCATGGATATTGCTGGTCCATCTGTCTGAGGAAGTACAGGAGCTGGATTAAAAGGAGGTTTTTGTATGTAATACTATTTCTCAATGAACACTGGAGCATGTTTAACCAGACAACTCAAATATAAAAATACTAGTTTACATTTACTCATCATAATCTTAAACAAAACCTTTGCTACCACTCTACTGTAACACTGGATCCACTGTCAGAACACTCACATAAACTCATTCAAGGTGAAGGCCATGAAGCTGTGTTCAGAAGAGCTACCATGGACTCTCATCTACTAAGTGAAGAAAAACATAAAACAGGTTTAACAGCAATCTCCTAATTAAATGGGTTGAAGTGGAGAAATAAAACAAATCGAAAATAATCAAAAGAACACTGGATTGATATCAAGCCAAGAAAACCAGGTGGAGAGCAACTGTGGTAAGAAAAGTTAGAAAACATTTGATGCAAGTCTCAGGTGTAAGTAAAAATAAAATTTAAAGACAACAAAAGCAGAGGGACCATAGAACCTTAGTATTCTTTAATCCTAAAAACTAGAACACAGCAGAAGGCATCTACATTCACCAGGGAATAAAAGACTTGAAAGACCTGAAAAAGACCTTTAATTCATCATTCACCTTGCATTAGCAAAGTGGAGACTGGCCTTCACATTATAGAAATGGCTTTGATGCACTCCCTGGCTCATATTCTCTCTCACTGCTGCTGAGTGTCAGCTCAGAATCAAACTGCTGTTACTAGGTAACCACTTTGTGGGTCTGAGTTCACAGGAAGAGCTTGTATTTAAAAAAAAAAAAGCAATTTGAAACAAATCAAAAGAAATGAGACAATTTTTTAAAAAGAACTTTAAAAAATATTTTAGAAAGAGCATATCTGGAAAAGTAACAGTTTCAATAAGAGGGTTCACATATTTGGATAATGATTAAGAACAAGAGAAAGGCAATGCCTAGCCATCAGTAGCTTCAAATTTAATTGGTTTTATTATTTAGCAAGTGAAGATACACACAGAATTTTTTATAGTAACATGCATACAAATGTACACAAGCTTCTGATTTGTTCATAAAAATATACTGTTTTAAAATAAATATTTTAGAGCAGATGGAAGAGAAAGGCAGGTAGAATTTAAACACCTGAAAGAGACAGAGCCTAGAAAAAAAAAATTGAAAGAAACGCACATCTCTTCATTAAAAGAAGCTAAACTATTTCATCCCACCTATTGAGCATCAACAATGTGTAATTTATTGCTATTTGGTTGATAATAAAAGGGTCCATGGGGAAACTGTCACAATTAGCCATTTTCTTAAACCTGACAGAGTAGACAACCAGAAATGTAGATCTCTACAGAGAAGAGGGTGGGAAGGACCCAATAGCCAGCTCTCCTTGAACACCAAGGAACAAGGATAAGCATCACGCATACTGCTCATTTCTGTCTCTTGTGCTCACAAACAGAAAGGTGAGAACTTAGCCCCAAATCTACAATGCATCACATAAAACAGTGCTGCTGAAGAAGTTAATTTTAGATTCCAGAGTTAACATTTAACACAATTTGATATCATCATAATCATCATCTTACTTTTTCACCTTTGTCCCCAACAACACCGGTGATGCCCCTCAAACCTTGAGCTCCCTGAAAATGAAAAATGGAAAGGAAATTATTTTAGTGTAAACAAGAAGGTTTCACAATCTCCTCACAAAAGATACTCAAGAAGGATGTTCTTGTGACCCATGACAAATAGTGACATCACGTAGGGACTTGCAAAATTACTGATGACAAAAAGTAAATACTACTAGTTTAAGAAACTACCATAATAAATCTATTGTTTCATCTAGCTTGTATTGTTTACTTTGATTTTATTTGAAAGGTATAGAAATAGAGGTATACAAAGAGAAGTTATCTGCTACTTCATTCCTCCAAATGCCTGCAAAAGCCAAGGCTTAGCAAGGGCAGACAGAACTCCATCTCAGTTTGCCGCAGAGGTGAAAGGGACTCAAACACCTGCTGTCTCCCAGATGTAGGAGGCTAAAATTAAAAGTAGAACCAGGACTCAGGAAAAAAAATCAGGCACTATAATATGGAATGCAGCTTCAAGTGGCAGCTTAACACTGTGCTAAACACTCACCCCATGGGAGTATATTTCACTCATCTTTAAACGCATATACAGAACCTACAAGGCCATTCCTACCTCCTTCACAGTTTGTAACTTGGTCACATGTAACATAATTTTAAACTTTGGAATAATTTTCCCTACCAACATAAACCATAAGCTAACAGGTACCCATGCTACCCTGCACAAGGTTATGACATAGACATGAAGCTGGAATTTCCATCAACCACCTGCATTCATTATTCCTAAACTCTTCCTATGATAGAAGGCATTCTACAGTATAACTTGGCAGTTGGAGCACTTGCCATGGTCCCCATCTTTGGCACAACATTCAATTTTCCCAAAAATGAGGGAGTGGGTATTATTTCTGGAATCATTTTTAATATTGAAATGTTGACATTCTGTGTTTTCTGGCTCCATGGCAGGAGGGCTCCAAAAACAAGGCCTAACAAGGGTACCCTTGTGAGAGCAGCTTTGAGTGAAAGTCTATCACAAAAGAGAAGAAGCCAATTCTGGAAGAGCTGCAGTTTATTAACTGCTTTGGTTTAAGGTAAAAGAGTTCTAAGGCTAGTCATATACCTCATCTTCTCAGGTAAAGAAAATAAGACAAGTATATAATTCACTCTTTACCTAGATCAGGAATAAATTCTGTGAAGATCAGGAATATCCTAAAATATGATTTTGCAGGAGATGCTCCAGCTTAGAACATCCACTTAGGATCCAAAATTAGACCTGTCCCAGATTAAGCAGGCTCTTTCTTATGTAGATCAAACACTGACTCAGAAGGTACAGGCAGTATTTAAAAAAAACATTCCAATCAATAGCAGTGTCATGGGAATGTCACGTATGGTCTCTTGAGTTTCTCAATTCTTTGAAGGACATGAGTTTTATAAAATATGCTGCCAAGCATATTTTCACAGTGTATACATTGCTTGCCATTGCAAGTTAAGCTACCACCTATAATGCTGGTACCCCACATGGGCACTGACTTGAATCACAGCTGTATCACTTTCAATCCAGCTCCCTGTTACTGTGCTCAACAAAGCAGTAAAGAGTGGTTCAAGTGCTTGAACCCCTGCCACCCACATGGGAAGACCCAGAAGAAGCTCCTGGTATCAGGCTGGCCCATTTCCTGCCATTGCAGCCATTTGGACAGTCACCCAGCATATAGAAGACTGAGCTCATTTAGTCTCCACCTTTCTGCAACTATGCCTTTTGAACATAAACATTTAAAAGAAATAAAGTGAAAAATCTGCATGTTACTTTATATTTCTACACGTATATATTTAAAGTGAAAATGTGTGAGTTCTACAGATACATTTTGACACACTGACTCACAGATATCAAAAGGTTAAAAAGCACTGCTGACTACCCTAGTGGACCACTCAATTCATCAGCACCCAATATAGACCCTTTACTCATAAACACTTTTTAAAATGCTGTTTGCGGGCCCAGCATGATAGCATAGCTGTTAAAGTCCTTGCCATGAATTCGCTAGGATCTAATCCCAGCAGCCCCTCTTCCCATCCAGATCCCTGCCTGTGGCCTGGGAAAGCAGTAGAGGATGACAGAAAGCTTTGGGACCGTGCACCCACGTGGGAGACCCAGAGGAAATTCCTGGCTCCTGGCTTTGGATTGGCTCAGCCCCAGCCTTTGCGGCCATTCCGAGTGACCCATTGGATGGAAGATCTTCCTCTCCGTCTCCTCCTCTCTGTATAGCTGCCTTTCCAATAAAAATAAATGAATTTTTTTTAATGCTGTTTGTAAAATCCTCTTCTGAGCATCTGTGCAAATGGCCTTCTAAAATATCTTTAAGCCTCCAAAATTTTCTTTAGGAAGCAAAAAACCTATCTATTATATATCATTATCTTCAAACTGTATGAGTCCAGATCCTTATTGTTTTACATCAAAGGCTCAGGAAAAGCAAACTTCTGGAACAGTTTCTTAGAGCCCTCCAAAGATCCCCTTATGTTTCTTGCTTGACTTAGGGACTGTATCTTCCCGATTCTGATTCACTTGCTTTACATTCTAGGTAAACACTAATTTACATGGCTCCCTGAGCATTTTAAAGGTCATCCCTGGGGAAGAGAAGGAAAGTGAAGAGTGGCCCCGTATTGCTCTTCCCTAACTCCAGTTTCTAGGAATGATACCTGAACCTATCTTTTACATAGTTTATCACCTGGTGGCCATGTTCAATGAATATTCTGCAATTACTATTTTCACAATTAATATTATACATTTTGGCAAGAAAAAAAGCATAACAATTCCACACACAACACAAAAGCACTGTAAATTCTAACATAATGAAACTTGTAAATTAAAGTATGCTAATACCCCCAAAATTACCTTACATAATATTGTATCAACGTGCTAAAGCGCAAGGGACAGGTTTTTATTAAGAGACATGATTATTAGCAATCAAGAATGCTCCAATTACAATGATTACATGCTTCATTAAGCCACATTAATCTAGGGCTTATATACCTAATAAATACTTGGGTACACAAAATGTTCTTCCTGTATCAGGTGACAGAACCAAAGAATGTAAAAATTGCATCATCCTCTTGTGCTTAATATTGGCTTTCAGATCGCTGATCCTTAAATGGATATATATTCTTCTAATATATACATTTACTTAAATGAATATGTATAAATATATATATTTAGATAAGTAATTATATGTAGAATTTTCCTGTTGGAAAAGTACTTGAACATCTCAAGGAGACCTTCTTTATTTTAACAAAGTAGCTATGTCCCATTGTTGGCCAGATGGTAAAACAGTACAACGCTAATGCACTGCTATTAATTCAATACTAAATAGAAAAGCTCCTGCGTCTTTAAAATTATTTGCACATTCTCACTAAATATCTTTAAAAATACTTTACTGGAGGTCCTTGAGCTCCAACTTCCCCCAGCTCTCCCTGGTCACCTTCTTCACCCTGAAAAACAAGGAGAAGCGCACCACATGTTATCCTAGAAAATCAACACAGAACACATAATTCAACACATCTGGAGCTCATTTGACAACCCCTGAATTACTCTTCCACACTTTAAATTCTTAGAGGTAACCCATGTTCACTGTAGAACGTTCAGAAAATACAAAGTATGCAAATAAATTAAAGTCACCCAAATCCTTACCATTCAACTACAAATAGCAGTAACATTTATGACATTAAAATTTTACAACTTTTCTAGAAGGAAAGAGAGAGACACAAAGAGGAGAAAGGGACAGAGGAAGAAAAAGAGGAGAGAGAGGAAGAAGAGAGAGGGAGATGAAGAGAACATATGCCTTCTTGCAAATCTGTGTGTAGGTCTGTGCATATGGGGAGGTATCAAGAAAATGTGATTATATTATGCAAATTCACATAAGATATTTTTAATCATTGTTTACATCTTAGCTATTCTTATAATCTTTGTGCCACTGACAAATTAACATATTTAAATCAGTCTTTCCTTAATTGGGTTATACCTTTGCTATCACTCATTGAAATACCACATATATTTTTCTATTTCTTAAATGAAAATATTCAACTTAGTAAATTCTCTCTCAAAAATCTAAAGTGGAAATTCTTATTTATTTGTTCAGATAGCTGACCACATGTTCCAGTATCATTTATTAAATAATAGATACTCTCCACATAGAATAAACTATTAAACATACTTGGTTCTGGACTTCCACCATGCTCTACTGACCTGCTCTATGATGTTGCCAATGCATTTTAATTTTTGCAGTTTTACAATACACTTCAATCTAAAATCAGATTATTTTCCTGACCTTTCTTTTATTTCATGTGCTTCAATGCAGTTAATCTTCTTAAAATTTTTATTTTGATTTTATTTGAAAGGCAGAAAAAGAGATCTATCATGTACTGTTTGCCTACCTAACCCAGGGCAAGAGCCTATAACTCAGTATGAATCTCCCACATGAGGCAGAAACCCAAACACCTGAGCCATCATCTGCAGTCTCCAAGAGTGCACAGTGGGAAGCTGCAGCAGCAGAACAGGGGCGAAGGCTAAACCAGGTACTTTGCCAAAGGTGGGTAGCCCAACTGGCATATTAACAGCCAAACACTTGCATTCTGTAGTTACTCTGATTTTTCAGATTCTTAAATGTTTACTCATTTAGATGAACCATAGAATCTTTGAACAGATCATGAAAAAATTCTTCATATTAGGATTGTATCAAATCAATAGATTAATATCATAAGAATTAGACTATCTCAAAACAAAATATAAGAAGCCAGTGTGGTAGCATAGAGGTAAGCTGCTTCCTGTGACACTAGCATCCCATGTGGGCACTGGTTCGTGTCCTGGCTGCTCAATATACAATCCACTTCCCTGCAAATGTTCTGAGAAAGCAGTGAGACATCATATGAGAATTTAGGCCTCTGCCAACCATACAGGAAACCCAGACAAAGCTCAGGTCTTTGGCATGGCCAAGTCATGGCCACGTGGCCATCTAGAGAGTAAATTAACTGATAGAAAATCTCTGCCACTACCTCTAACTGTGACGTTTAGATAAGCAATCTGTTTTTAAGAAATCCTCAACACATCTCTCTGGCTGGAATATTGTTTAAGTTTGTTTTAAGGTATTTTGTATGCAGTTGCTTTTGACAATGGGACCTTCTGTTAAATGTTAATATCTGATTTGCCATTTTGGTTACTAAATTTGTAACATCTGATCAACTTCTAAAATTCATAATAGTACAAAAAGAAGTCCAACTCATCACTTACAGAAAAATTACTTCACCGTCCCTGAAAAGTTATTCCTTTTTGATAAAAGTTTTACTTTTCTAAAATAGGTATACTCTACTACATCTCTGTAATAATTGGCATCTGAAATTATAAAGTTAACCATGCAAAAATTTTTCATTTTAAATGTTAAGTATATCTAATTCCAATCCACTTTTATGATTTATTACATGTTTTCCAACTGCCTTATCTTCTTGCTTGATAGATCATATTTCAGAGATTTTCATTCTTAAAAAAAAAAAAAGGAAATCTAGGAGATGTTTGCATGCTGGTTAACATGCCATTTGGAATGTCCACATCCCACATCAGAGTGCCTAGGATTAACATCACACCTTTACTTCCGATCCAAGGTCCTACTAATGCAGGTAAGACAGTCTGACCACTGTCACCCACAGAAAGCCTTGGATTCTATTTGTAGCTTCTGGCATCAGCCAGGCCTGACCCTAGCCATTTTAAGAAGCAAACAAGTGAGAGCGAGAGATCACTGTCAGCCTGTGTCTGTCTCCATCTATTGCTCTCTGTGTGTCCGTCTCCCTACCTTTCAAATTAAAAAATTATTTAGCATGCACAATGCAATATTTTTTCTTTATTAGAAATACAGAAGACAAGCATGAGTATCAATACCAAGCATTTACATAATACAAAGTATTAGGTTATACCTATATCACTTATAGTTGCTTTCTAAGTGAATTGTGAGGCACGTCAATGTCAGTTTTAACCTGACATATTCATGGTGTGGTTCATAAGAACTGACTCACAGTGGGGTGAGTGACTCTCAATGAGAAAGCCAAAAAACACCGAGGTCACTGAGAGGTTGACCATGTGTGCAGCACTAGCTGTTTTTCCCCAAAAGACTACAAAACTGCAAAAGCTGCAGTGATGGAAGTGTCCACAATAGTCTTTCTCTAACAGACATCAGGCATTTCCCAGAGATTCTCGATGAATACTGGTGTCATGTATTGGATTACAATTTCACCTGATAAAAGGCACATAACTCATCAAGAACACCACAATGTTGAGTATCAGATTCAGGTGTAGCAATTTGCTACTTCACTGAAATGATTTGTGAATGATAATCATCTGCTATATGCTACTGCCTAAATCACATTTTAACAATGGAAATATATAAAGCCAATAGTGAAACATCTAGAAAGGCTATCAAGAAAGCAGTCCGATTTCTAGTAACTACCAAATGATACCTAGGAATTCATTTAACTAAAGAGGTGAAATATCTGTACAATTAAAATTATAAGTCATTGATGAAAGAAATCACGGACAGAAAGAAGTGGAAAATCTGGCGTATGCATTAGAGGAATCAATATAATTAAAATGTGTTTATTACTGAAAGCAATTTACAGATTAGAATTTTGAAGGGATTTAACCAAAAGACATTTTTCACTGAACTAGAAAACACTATGAAAATTGTATGGAACAACAGAAGACTCAAATATTCAAAGGAATCTTGAGTAAAAGAATACAGCAAGAGGTATTATACTACCTGACTTTAAAATACATGACAAAGTTACAAGTAATTAAAACAGCAAAGTACTGACACAAAAAGAGATCCATAGAACAATGGAACAGAATGAAGACACAACCTGCAAATTCATGCATCTACTATCAATTGATATTTGACAAAGCTTCTAGGAACAAAAATCGGAATAGCCTTTCAATGCATGATGTGGAGGAAATTGAAAATTCATCACCTATAGAATGTCACTAAACTATCTTTCATGTATAAAAATTCACTCAGGATGGATTAAGATCTTAAACTGAAGATCTAAAATGCTGAAAGTACTAAAAGAAAACAGAAAAAAAAAGTTAAATCATTGGAATTGGTGAGGATTTTTATAGGTCAGATCTAAAATGTACATAAAGTAAGAATAGACAAATGAGGTCTCCTCCAAGGTAAGACTTTTTGGACAGCAAATGAAACCATCAACAGAATGGACAGCTTGAGAGAGAATATATGTGCAAGCTGTGAAGCTGATAATATCCACAATACATAAGGAACTCAACGCAATGGAAGACAAAAATAATCCAATTCAAAACAGAGTAGAGGGTTAGCACTGTGGTATAATGAATTAAATCTCTGCATGCCACACCAGTATCCCATATGGGTACATGTTCATGTTTTGGCTGCTCTACTATCACTCTGACTCCATGCTCATGCAATTGGGGAAGCAGCACAAGACGGCCCAAGGGCTTGGGCCCCTGCACCCTGTGTGAAAATCAAAGGAAGCGCCTTGGTTACTGACTCCAGTCTGGCCCAGACTTAGCCACTGCAGCCTTGTGGGTAGGGAGCCACTGGATGAAAACTCTCTAACTCTTCCCTTCAATTAAATAGAGTAAATTAAAAAAAAAAAAGTCCCATAAAAAAATGGGCAGTAGATCCAAATATATTTCTGAGTTTTGAGGAGAAACATTTCCTTGATTGGATATTAGACATATAACAAAATGTCACATAATACTTGATAAATACATATTTTATGTCTGCTAAAATCGATTTAATGAAGACCTTCCAAAAAAATTAAAAATTAAAAGAATTCATTATCACCATCTGTCCTGCCTTACAAATAATTCTGTACTGTAAAGCAGAGAAATGTAGCCATTATTCTGAAAAAAATGTGAAGGCAGAAAATCTTCCAGTAAAAGCAGAAGGAAAATCCACAGCAAACAATAGGAATATTTATGAGAAAATGGCAGGACCCAGTCATTATCAATAATAACCTTGGATGTAGATGGCATAAATTCTCCAATTAAAAGATACAGACTAGATGAACAGTTTTAAAATGAGTCATTTGTTTGCTGCCTACAAAAAAATATCTTGCCTAAAAAGATACAAAGACTGAAAAGGGAAAAATGAAAAAAACGATTTCTATTCTAATGGGAAGTAACAAACAAAATGACCAAAAGTAACCATCATAATATATAACACAAGAACCACTTAAAGAAAGAAAGAATGCCATTACATAGTCATAAAGGATTGTGAATGCATATGCACCCCAGGGTACCGTGAGTATTTAAAACAATTGTTAACTGATCTACAAAGAAACACAGAACTCCAGTACAATAATGGGGGACTTCTACACCCCCCTATCAACCAGGACAGAACAATTAGAAGGGAGGGGGAGGAGAGGGGAGGAAAAGAGAGGGGAGGGGATAGGGGAGGAGGGACAATAGCTAA